GAACAGTTGCCTCATGGTGTATGTACAGTTTCCTCAGGAGCACAATTAAGTGTTCCAGAATATTAATTCTCTGCAATGTTGTCCATAGCTTGTCATAATCCACACATTTGAAAGCCTTTACATAGTTCAGAAAGCACAGGTAAGCATAATTCTGGTATTTTTTGCTTCAAGATCCATCTGACGTCAGCAATGATCTCTTGTTCCATGCCCTCGTCTGAAACCAGCTTGAATTTTTGGCACTTCCCTGTCAATGTACTGTTTCAGTAGTTTTTGAGTTATCTTTAGCAAAATTGTATTTGCATGTGACAATGATATTTTCTGATGGTTTCTGCATTCATTTGGGTCACTTACCTTTGGAATGGGCACAGATATGAATCTCGTCCAATCAGTAGTCCAGATAGCTATCTTCCAAATTTCTTGGCATAGAAGAGTGAGTGCCTCCAGTGCAACATCAATTTGCTACTTCCTTCCTGTGGTTCCCCATTTACATCTTAACCTTTCACAAGTGAACAAAGCAGTAATATTTGATGCACACACAAGACAAAACAAAATATAAATTATATTTTCATTTAAATGTTCAAAGATCTCATTCTGCAATATGATACCTCTTCATGCTTTTGGCATCATTTCAATATTTTGTGTATTGAATCCTTTAATATTGCAAGTGGAGACTTGAATTTTTTCTAACGTTTGTTCTTTCAACTTGAGAAATGCTGAGCCTTTTTTTACCCTTTTGGGTTGCTAATTCCAGGTTTTGTACATTTCACTCTTTGAAATTTTCCATTTAGCTCTTTTACTTCCTCATTTCATCCATTTTAACATCTCTATTCTGGAGCTCTGGTAGCGTAGTGGTTACGAATTGGGCTGCGAACCGCAGGGTCAGCAGTTTGAAACTACCAACTGCTCCATGGGAGAAAGATGAGGCTTTCTGCTCCCGTCAAGATTTACAGCCTTGGAAACCCTCTTCAGGGTCACTATGGGTTAGAACTGACTCAGTGGCACTTAACAACAACACAACATGCTGGAGAGCAAGTTTCAGAGTCTCTTGTGACATCCATTTTGGTGTTTTCCTTGTTTCTTGTCTTAATGACCTTTTGCTTTCTTCCTGTCTAATGTTCTTAATATCATCCCACAACTCTTCTGGTTTCTGGGTTTAGTGTCTAGTGCATCAAATCTGCTCTTGAGATGATCTCTGAATTTAGGTAAAATGAATTCAGAGTTAAATTTTGGCTTTTGTAGACTTGTTTAAATTTTCTTTAGCTTTAGTGTGAACCTGTATGTGAGCAAGTTGAGGATATCGATCTTCATGCATTCCATTTTGAAAACTTTAGTTTTTCTAGATTCATGCTTTGTACATTCCATGTCCCGTTTATCTATGTATGTTTATAATTGTTTCTTCTCATTTTGAATTGGGCCCCCTCAGCAACTGAAGGTCCCTAAAGTTTTACTACATTACCAATCGTGGACAACTCTACTTTGAGGAGGCAGCTGTTCCCCAGTAGTTTTTTGAGTACCTTCCAACTTGAGGGATTCATTTTCCAGCAGTATATCTGAAAATATTTTGGTACTATTCATGATGTTTCAGCAATGAATATTTTGATGCTTCCTGACAGTATTCCCCAGCTATTCATAAGGTTTTCAGAAGTAGTCCGTCTCTCCTTCTTCCTAGTCTGTCTTTGTCTGGAAGCTCAGCTGAAACCTGTCCACCATGGGTGATCCTGCTGGT